TAGGAAAGTCCTGATGGGACAGCTAACCAACCTGCTCATGGATTCGTTGTTAGGATTCAGTCCACTAAATGCAAATACCTTGACTTTAAACCATCTGCAACCCCCTTTTTTTGTGTTGGATCACATGATTCACATTCACTCCATCATCCATGAAGAACAGGTACCATTTGAATCACTTATAACAGAAAAGAAACAACATATTCCATTCTCTTACCTAAAAAGATAAAAAGGGAAAAGGCACTTGAGCATCCGAGACCTGGTATGCCAATTTAATACAACATAGCAAGCAAGTTTTACTTCACCAAACCACCTAAACATAATCTACTAGACAAACAAAGAAATGAGGAATACAAGAGGGAATGAATGATTCCCTCCTTGATCTTCCACTCAAGTTTCTGTCATTGCGGTCATCATACACATGAAAAATACATAACTAAAGTGGTAACCTTCTGTCCGGAAATAGCAGCAGCGACCAAGAAACCTCAAAAGCATTGCAAAGAAAAGAAAGACAGTCATTGCTTCTCAAAAGTGATAGGTGGCTTTTCTGTTGGACAGCCGATGTCCTAAGCATCACATCCTCCACAGACTATACTCCTGCAATGGACCGAAAGAGATTGTGCATGTGAATGTTTAGCAAAAGGGATATATATATATATATATATATATATAAACAGAACATGGGGTAGTAAAAAATTATGGTTGTTTAATATGAAAATTATTTGGAGTGCCTGTCAAGGCAGGCAATATATGATTCCTACATCTAAACTACAGAATTTATAATCAGTAACAAATAACAACTGATAATAAACATGCAGTTTTAAGATTGTAAGTCCTCTCTTCAGCTTGAGAGGAAATTTTTGAGGATTAGACAAGCACAAGATGGCAGAAAATGAGCAAATGCTCAGACCAAAATTAGATATTTCATTATTTGGAGGCTGTGGCATGATTTTGCATAAATGAGACTTATGATTCACTATTTTTTTTATCATGCATTACTCTAGAAACTAGCTACTTATTCCTCTTGCGGTCTTGCCCTAACTTATTGAGCTATAATTTGGAGCAATATTTGGGAAATCATCAGGATTGCCAGATGTTACTTGTGAACCCAGCAATCATCATTTGTATCTTTATTGCTTGCATCAAATAGGCATATGATAAGCTTAACTAATTAGGGAAGAGTTGAGTTCTGCATATTCTCTTCATTGGTTACTGGAAATTTATATGCTTTAAAATTTAGCTTCAAAAGATTAAGAATCAACTGAAAAAAAGAAAAATGCAGGGAGGAACTTACGCAATTGAGCAGCCAGACCTTCTGTGCCTTTTCTGCCTTGCAATTTCCTTCCTCCTTGAAGGTTGAAGAACAACCTTGATAGCAGTATCGAAAACAGCTTTGACATTCTGTAGAATCAACAAGTCAAGTTACTGAAGTAAGGAAAAAAAAAAAGGTTCAAGAAACAACCAGCCAGCATATCACTAGACTCAATTACCTGCTGTGTCTTAGAGCTGCACTCAATATAAGCTGCTGC